TGCGGGATGAATGGTCAATTTACGTCGTAAGATTCTTGAGTTGTATTCGTATTATTACTGCGGAAGATTGTCGTCGTAGTTTCTCTTAGTAGACGTTCGCGAAACGTTTCTGTCGTCGTTTGTAAACGAGAGAAAAGAAAAGAATACGAAGGGGTTGTTTCTTCCGTGAGACACGGGAACAAATTCTTCGGTTGAGTTTATTCAACTTTGTACATAACCACCGTATCCTTGCCCTTCTCATCCTTGTCCCTTTCTTCTGCGGCGCGTTTTACGCACCGATTTTATCGATCGTCGCAGCGTCGCCGTGGATAACGTTATTGCTTAAGAGATGCGTGAGAGTAATTAAGTAATTCTTAGAGTCCTCATTAAAGTATTTCACAATAAACGTTGTACGAAATTGAGAATTTTCTGAATTTTATTTCAACACCTACTGAATATACAGGGTGATTCACGTATCTTTCACGCCATAAATAATTTTCAAATTATGCGTCTAATTAACTAGTACTCATCCAATGGGGACTATTTGGTGCCCAATAATGTAAATATTCCATAAATTTACCATTCATAAATGTCGCTTCGTCCGTAAAAAATATTTTCTAAAAAACTTTCATTAGCCCTTACTTGCTGCAAAAATCATTCAGCAAATTGTACTCTATTTTGAAAGTTGGTTTCGTAAAGCTCCTGACGAAGATATAAGCGATACGGATGCATTTTATGAGCGTGAAGAATTCAAGAAGTACACTTAACTATGACTATGACTAACATTGTATTCTACAGTTTCTAAAACAGCATTTTCTTCACTAGTACGGCGACGTTTTATAACATTAATGCTGCCAGTTTCTCGTAGTATAATTTTTCGACATTTTACGTACGTAAGGCATCCCATATCTCACTTCGACCTCGATCGTCGCGTAAATACTGCCGGTGCGTAGCACAAACTGAACTGATAAAAAAATTTCTGGATATTTTAAAGGTTAAATATTACAGTAGTCCCCACTTGAGCGTTTGTCACTACCCCCAAAGGAGATGAGATAATCCCCCGTCTGGAATTGGGATTATCTCATTCTAAGCTACTTTACCGTGCCACGTGCCAAAAATCGCGTACCTGACATTTGGACAATACAAAGCGAGTGACGCCTGTTACCGATATTTCGACACAATCCGCCACGAAACTCCACAGCCAAATAACACAAATATAAATAACACCAATTTTCGACAAAAAAAATGCTAACCTATGTATTTCGAAAAAATTATATCATTGATTAAGAATTGATTATCATTGATTAAGAATCAGTATTCGAAAAAATTTTATCATTGATTAAGAATCAGTCAATGATGTAACAGATTTCGTAAAATTGGAGCATCTACCTTCCAAAATTAAAATTCTAAAGTTATTACATGATAAAATATT